CAGTTCAGTAGATATCAGTGGCCTATATAGTGATGTGCGCTCCTTAGTGCAGACAATATGGTAGAAATATTGTCATTAAATAACAGGTGATCTAATCCCTACAGTAAAGTTGTTACATACACGCCATCTGCCTCTAGTACATACCATGCAGGAGCATAAAAAAACAGTTGTTTTAGTGTCAACATTGGCCACCCTTGGAGGATCAAAGATGTCACAGGTGGGTTCAATTCAATCATTCCTGGCTCATTTGTCCTTACAGAAATTCTATTAATGCTGTGTTAACACTGAACATGCTTTGAGCAGCTGGAGCAGCCGGTTTACATGCAAAGTCTAGAGTAAAAGTGCATCAAGGCGGTTCAAGAGGTCCTGCAGTGCATTTCGAGCAGCGTGTCATTAGCATTTAAGCATCCAAAGTGCGCTACGCATCTGAGGTGCTTTATGCACTTCCAAAGCAAAGACACTTGAGTTGGAAAATCTGAGTTCTGGTATGTGTTGATGTCCTGGTAGGATATGCTAGCACCAATGCAGGGTGACAGGTTGTGAAACTGGGCTCGGCTGGGAAGAAAATAGCTCTGGAAGGGACTCTTGACCCTAGGTGGTGAACCATTCCACAAAATAAACACCTCTGAAGCATTTGGTTTAGTTTATTTATTTCAGTAAAACACAAAAGAACATAACTCATCTGTGTAAAAAACCAAAATTCTGATAAAAAGGGAGCAAAAAAGGATTAAAACCTATATCTAAACCCATTTATCATAAAGAAAAATACCAAGGCACCAAACAATGGTGTTCTCTAGCTTTATTTAGTAGATGAAGCCAAGACACTCTTTCAATTTCATTCACCATTTTACAAGACAGAAGCAAAGAGAAGAGGGTAGCTCCTCCTCTGACCCTTCACCAAGCACATAACTAGAATTGAAGCATCAGACCTTCAATGTAGAGAAGCATCAAAGCTGAAGCAGGAGATGCATCTTTGCTGTTCAGTTTTTGTTCATAAGTGTTTGACAAAGAGACTTATCTCCCCTTTCAGATCTCTGTAACCCCTACCACTGATGGGAGACTGTTTCTCAAAGTGGGCCTAATTCTGCCACAGCCTTCACCTTCTTAAAGGAAGTGGTTCCTTTCAACTGATGCCATATTCTTCTTCATGTAATAGATTCCAAAAAAAAAAAAAAATCTTTGACTTTAAGCAATAAGCTGGATTTCCTCAGGTATATGTTTTTACCAACTGACATTTAGTGATCAATGGGTTTAGGCTTTTGAGTATTGTAATAATGCCAGGATTTAAAATTGTTTACCTGGATATTAATCTGACTGTATGGTTGGAATCAACTGGTTTAATGTTAATGAGATTTGAACTGAATTTGAACCTAAATGGGTTATGTTTAATTGGATTTGAATCGAACCCTGGATCGTTGTCTGCTGTACTGTCTCCCTTTTCTGTGACAAATCCCATGGAGCAACGATAGCAAAAACCAAACAGGAGAAGCCCGACATAAAAGATACATAGAAGAACTAAAGCCAAGTGAGTGCAGAAGCATGACTATTAACATTATGCAGCAAAAAGAAATGATCTTTAAAACGTCAGAAAGGCTTACCCCTCAGAGGTCAATTATAGTGTGTAGCAGCTAGCAGGATAAAAAGAAAACCTGACTAACCTTTACTGGAAGATAAGCAAGGCTATGACACTCTGATTTGTTTTTCTTTTTAAGTTTTTCTTTAGAAACCCTTTTTGTATGTACAGGTATCTCCAGTTAAATAATGCATTACAATTAGGTTTGTTGTTAGATCAAATTTGCCCTTGTAAAAACTCGGACTTTTACGTAGTTATTAATCGGTCGCTTTATTAAGCCCACATACAATATTCTAATCTTCAATGTTGTGTTTTCATAACCTGTTATCGGAAAATTATCATAACTATAATTGTAGGTGTATATAATACATGTAATGTGTTTCACTTAGGGAATTTTGAAGATTGATCATAAAACTTAAAAAATGTCCTTTCTATTGAGGTGCACCTCTATGTAGAGTTTCCTCTTGCTATTAAAGGCCTTACTCTATAAAAGTTTTAATAACATTAATGAATATTACATTTAAAGGGGCATAGTGATGTTATATGTGTCTACAAAAAATTATTATAAATCCTTTGACAATGATATATAGGGTAGTGTAAACCAGCGACATCCTGATAGTGTCCTTTATGAGCCTAAATAGAATTCCAGCACCAGGTTCAATGAGTGCACAAAAAGACATGTGCACCATGTGTTGGCGAAAATGGCCATAGCTACTGAATAGAGCACAAATGTCCTGCAACTCCTAAATGGTTAAGTTACACCTGACCACAGGCGGAGGCCAACCCAATCAAAAGCGACTCCATGTTCTAGGGCAGGGATGTCAAATACACTGAGAGCCAAAAAAACTAATTTGCTACAAGCCGAGGGCCGGACTGGTTAAATATTAATTAGAACATATTGAAACATAGCCTATTGAACCAAGACATAACACATTGTGTGTTTTTTTTTTTAAACAAAGTATCAATATCATTATTATTAATAAACTTTCATTATATTGATAAACTTAGTAAGATAAATGCATAAATGAAAAGCATGCATTATAAACCAAAAATGCATTACTGTGCTGCTCTATGATCCTACCGATTGCATTCAAATAGTAAAATAAGAAAAAAATTATCAAATGAGTTGTATTCTCTCTCATGTTTCTTATCCTGAGTCCATTCAACTGAAAAATCTAAATAAATACAATAAAATACAAAAATCTATGGCACACAGACAAAACAATACTTCCATCAAAGAAAAATCACGTCTTGTACAAAGAAATGTAAAAATTTAGTGATGAATCACAGCAGCGGACCCAGAATTCAGCCAGAGGTTCTTTAAAAAAGCAATTTATTAAACAAAAATCAGAGCAATACCAAAAAGGGCCGAAGAATCAAAAAGACTACAGACTGCAGGTGTCTGCAGAGGCTGATTGAAACCAAAATTAGACGAGGCTGGACGGAAAGAAAGGGGAGCTGATCCTGCAGGTGGTAGAGACTGACACATTGCCAAGCGAGGGGCAGGTTGGATCCGCACGCCAGGCACAGAATACCGGGAGTGGAACAGACAGCACAGTCAGGTCAGAGGTCTGCGCCTGTAAGTAGCACTCGGTCTCGATCAGAGTATTGTGCGGATCCCACCTCGCTCAGGAGCATGTCCGTTTCCATCACCTGTAGGATCAGCTCCCCTCCCTCCATCCAGGCTCCTTTTATTTTCGCTTCAATCAGCCTCTGCTGAGACCTGTGCGCAGCAGTTGCGGTGCGCAGTTTGTGCACTCTGCCTCCTTAGACAACCTACTTCGCCCCCTTCCGCCCAGCTTGTGTTGTTAAATGGGGGAAAAGCAAAAACCAAAACAATCCAAACATGCAAAGCAGAACAAAAAAATCAAAATAAAAGAAAAACACAGACATGTTTTCCCCTGGGAACGTAGTGTTTGTGCGTGCGACACAACTGCACCATCACTACATTCCCCACAATGCAAAGGTAGCCCACGAAGTCACAGCAGCCGTGCTAATGGTAATTAAATATTATGCAGGGGGGCATGGATAAACAGTTTGCAGGCCACATCTGGCCTGTGGGACTTGACTTTGACATATGTTTTCTAGGGAATCATCCCTAAAGATTTCTATCAGAGCAACACCCAGAAAGAGAACTTCTATTCCTACTAAACACAAACACAGCATC